CGTGCATATGGTGAAACAAAGATCAAAGTGGTCTGAAGACTTACTTTGCTACTGCGAGAAAAGCCAGCTCCACATTGACTCCCGTCTTTGCACTGGTCTCCATGAACGGCACTCCATATTGCTAAAACGGAAAAAAAAAAGAAGTGCTGAATATGTGTTTTTATTTTTTATTTGGATGGATAGTTCAAAGACATGTTTTAAGGTATCTTACCTTGGCCAGCCTCTCTCCATCCTCTGTCTTCACCACCCGTTCTGCAGCCATGTCTGACTGTGAGAGAGAAAACAAACAAGTCAGGGGGTCACAAATTCACCATAAAATTAGTCACAGTGATGCACCATCCTGTCAGCCTCCTAATCTGGCTGCCGGGCTGCCTGAGCCGAGGCTCCGTCAGAACTGATGAGGTGTCAGCAGCTCCACCTCCAGCCCAGACTGACGCCGCCAGTACTGCTGCCTTCACAGCAAAAGATCTGAGCTGCTGCTACGTGACACCCGTGACCCTTTGATGCGTCCTCTCTGAACCACCAGAGGGAGCTTTTTGGATAAATAAGCAGTGACTGCTGGATGGAAAGAGGGGAAGAATTTTCTTTCTCTTGAAAGCACCTTCAGCTCTGCTCAGAAATTGGCTCAGAGCTTTAAAGCAAAAGGAGAGAAGCTGAGGGGGCATGTTATGAAATAGGTTTGTACTTTTTTTGTCACACTTTAATGTGTGATATCAGACAAAGACAACCTGACTGAAACAAAATGCAATTTTCAAGTAGTCGTTCCACCCTTAGTGGCAAACCATCCAGTATCTATCATCACTAGACATAGTTTTTACATCCATGTGAAGACATTTTAGCCAATTCAGCAAATATTTGAGAGTGTTGGAGCATGAGCAGCCTATTTATGGCCACACATATTGAGGTCCAGACTTTGACTAGGCCATTTCAAAACATCCTCTTAAGCTAGATGGAAAGTTTGATATGGGTTTCCTCTCCTGCAACATCTCATTGCTCTCTTGAGCAATGCACTTAAGCCCAGGTTCCCCAAAGGTCTGTATATCTGTGCTTAATGTTTGCATTAAAGGCACTTTAAGTGGTGTGGGAGGAGTAGGAAAAACATTTGATAGGTACTGGACCTACCATTTACCCTTTATGTTTCCTCAGCCATTCATAGCTGGACTTGCTGGTGTGCTTTGGACCATTGTCCTGCCACATAACCCTTGCAGTCTTAAGCTTAACCTTGACAGCAACGGTCCCAGAATATCACAACATAACAGTCTAGTTCTAAAATTTTAGTGTTACACTTGGCATTACAGGGTTCACAACATAGGGGGAGCTCTCCAATGGATGCAATTTTTGACCAGTCTCCTTCTTAAAACCACACTGCGGAATCTGTGACTTAAAGAATTTATGCATATAGGTTATTTTAAATGATTCCTCATGCCAATATACAGTGCATGAAGATATCAATGCTAAGAGCGGGCCCTTCATTGGCCAGGTCATGTGACCTGGAAGAACATATGGCTTTATGGCAACATTCTCTTATATAGTCATGGAGCTAAGGCTTTTGTTCTACTATTTTTCCGCCTGCTCGACTACTGGTCATGGCTGAGGCAATAAAAAAGTTTAATGAGAAAACGTGAAAGGGACTGTGTGTGAGGAAAAACAAGAGTGGATCCTAAAAAAGAGTTTGTTCGTTGGCACGAGCTGAAAGAGGAAGCCGGATATAAAACCAACTCTCTTTTCTCAACTTTATTATTAGACAGGTAAGTTAACACTTTGCTCCTAGTATACAGTCATTTATCTTTGTTATTATTTTCAATGTTTAGTGGAAGCAAAATACGGACAGAGAAACCTCGAAGGCTTCAAAGAAAAGCTACTAGTGGTGCTAGAGGCGAAAATTACAGGTCTAGCGCCCCTAGTGGCCAAAAGTTACACGGTGGGCCTTTACTGTTGAAAATGGCCTCTAATCTTAACCCGGCAAGTAAAGCCTGCTGAGCATTCATGTTGTATATTACCTCCTGGATGAGCCGTTGATGTACTCTAGGAGTAATCTTATGTCTTTGCTCCATCTGTGGATAATTATTCTAACTGTTGGCTGCAGTATGAACACCTTGGAAAAAGTGTTCATCATCCATTCTAGACTAATAAGTCTATTATTACTTATTACTAATAAGTATATTTTTCTAATCTCTTCTTGGATTTCTTTAGTTAAGGGTGCTGCATGATGCTTTTTGGGATCTTTAAGCCTACCTCATGCTGTCAGACAGGTTCTGTTTAAGTATATCCTTGATTCGGCAGGTCGGATAGGTAGGTTAAGCTTTTGTCTTTTAATGAGTGAGACTATAATTCAAAATTTTGAATTTTTTAGATCTGCAACATATAAATTGGGTAAGAGAAGAAAAATAAGCAGAAATCATTAAAGGCAGCGATATATTAGTGTTACATTTTTCCATGTAACTGTTGAAATCAGCTAACCACAGTTATGCATGCGTGTCACAGGGGAAGAATAATCTGCCTTTTAAAGCGTTCACATGCCTGCCTGAATGTGATAAGAGTGTGTTAAAACTGTGCTAAGGAAACCAATATCCTTCCATCGTTTATAAAACACACACAGGGAAAAAAAAAAGAAAAAAGAAATGAAGCTTTGCTCACCTTGTTGCCGAGCAACATGATGACCACATCCTTCTGGGCATAGTCTTTTATTTCAGTCAGCCAAGCCTTTAAAAGTACAGAAAGAAGAGGAGATGTTACCAAAACAAACGGCCCCACTTGAAGAATGCACTTTCTCCTTCTTTTATCGTGTTCTTCTCCAGAGCTGTGTTGTATTGTGAGCACGCTCTTATCAATCATGCCGACACTGAGTCATTCTTATCCTTGAGCGCTTTTATTGCTTTTCATTACTGAAGCTGGGGAGCGTGTAGCCAGGCAGACGACAGCATCACGCCATTTCTAAATAGGTCTGAGAGGGAAAGTTACTGGCCCAGCTAGTGCTTTGCATGTGAAGAGACAGAGGGAAACATTCAGAAAAAAACCAACAGATAGGGTGAGGAGGAGAGCTGGAGGAAAAGGGAATCTTACCCTGATGTTGTCAAACGATGGCTTGCTGGTGATATCATAAAGTAGAAGCAACGCTGTAAAATACGAAGAGAACAGCAGCTTTGACTGTCAGCATCTTCATTCATGCATGAGCTGAGCATGTTGACTTATTAGCTACGCACACACATACTCACGCACAGTACGAAGTGAAATATAAACAGCAAAGGTTACCCTGGGCATCTCTGTAGTAGGCGTGCGTTACACTGCGGAATCTCTCCTGACCAGCTGTGTCCCAGATCTGCACAACAAGCAGCACAATTACACGCCATCCGACACGGGAAGACCTCCCAGCTAATCCCAACCAGACCATGGATGGTATGGAAGAGCAAAGAAAGCACAGATCATGGGCTGAGCATTTTTCTAATCATACTACCAAATATGCTATAACCTATGCTTTTATGTGGAGTAAAAAAAATCATTAGATAGGGATTTTTCTCCAGTGCAGGAGTTCAGAGTAGGAGTTTTTATACGTTTTGTCTTGTGGGTATGTGATAGCCTCACATACCCACACTTAAGAAAGACATCCCACAGCATGATGCTGCCACCACCATCTGTCACCATTGCGATGGAGCACTAACTGCATTTTACAGTGTTTTTGTCTCCACATTGCTCTCCGGTACAGTTTGTGTTAAATGACACACAGGCCTCCATACGTTAAAATTTGAAACATATTTGCTGCAGTTAGAGCTGCAAGAGTTTTTTTTATTCCAAATTAACTTTGTCTCATTTAGGTTAGAGATACGTTCTATGTTAGTCTTCATGTTTGTGACACATTCTCAGTTATATTTAGACCTTGACTTGCACTAGGACATTCTAACACATGATTATACTTTGATCTTAGATCTTTTTCTGTCTCTGACAGGTTTTCTTCCAGAATTGCCCCCTTCTTTTCATCAAATAATTCCAATGTAGGTCTGATCATTTTCACATTATGCTTCTTCAAGAATAATGTATTGTACGTGCAGTATTGGACTCGGAGCCTATCTAAATTGATTTCATTTCATTCATAAGCCATTATCTAATTTGCATACTTGGCATATTATGAATTAGCATATAGTCCAGAATAGTTGTGCTCAAATGGATGCCTTAGAATTAGCAATTACATAGGAAGTTTTATCTACTTGCTGGTATTTATTCCTTCAATATTTCCTCTTTTTTATTTCCCAAACTAAATGAGTACAGTGAGTCACATATTTATGAGTTCAAGGAAAACATCGTAACCCTAAATAAACTAATTATAAGTTGAATGGGAGCTTTACTTTAGGAAAACATAAGCAAGGACAAATATGTTTGCCTCACTGGTAAATATATATATATAGCATATATATAGCATATATATATATATATATTATATATATATTATATATATATATTATATATATAGCAACTGGAGTATTCTAGAAGATGTAAATGCAGCACTACATACTATCCCTACTAAAGACATAACTGAAACCAATGAGCTGACCTACGCCACAGCTACAGTGATCCTAGAGATGCTTGGCTATAAGATAAACACCACAGGCCACAAAGCAGAGCCCCCATGGAGAAGAAGGCTGGAAGCCAAGATCAAGGCAACACGAAGAGAGGTTAGTCAGCTCTCAGACCTGCAGAAAGGTGTAGGGAAGAGGTTACCTAAGTACAACAAGCTGTTGATTCCTGAGGCTCTGGAAACTGCCAAACAAAGACTCGCTGCCCTGGCCACCCACCTAAAGAGATACAAGGGAGAAGCAGAAGCCAGGAGAATAAACCAGGTGTTCTCCACCAACCCATCCAAAGTGTACTCACAGTGGCAGGGTAATTCAAGATCAGATCCACCCAGGGTTGAGACTGAACAGTACTGGAGAAACATATGGGAGAAGGAGGCATCCCACAACACCAATGCTCAGTGGCTAGAAGATCTAAGAACAGATCACAGCAATCTCCCAGAACAAGAACCAGTAACCATTACAACGGCAGATGTCCAAGAAAGAGCGGCAGGTATGAAGAGCTGGACAGCACCAGGCCCTGACATGATCCACACCTACTGGCTGAAAAAACTAACTGCACTTCATGCACGCCTCGCAGCACAGATGAACCAACTGCTGATGGATGGGACCCACCCAGAATGGTTAACCCAAGGACGGACAATCCTGATCATGAAGGATCCGCAGAAGGGAACAACCCCATCCAACTACCGGCCAATAACTTGCCTATGTACAACATGGAAGCTCCTGTCAGGCATCATAGCGGCTAAGATGAATAGGCACATGGCTCAATACATGCACCCTGCCCAGAAGGGAATAGGAAGCAACACCAGAGGAGCCAAGCACCAGCTACTAGTGGATAGAGCAGTCACTTGAGACTGTAAGACCAGGCAGACAAATCTGTGCACTGCCTGGATTGACTATAAGAAAGCCTATGACTCAATGCCACATACATGGATACTGGAATGCCTGGAAATGTACAAGATCAACAGGACTCTAATAGCCTTCATCAAGAACTCAATGAAGCTGTGGAAAACAAGTCTGGAAGCCAATGCAAAGCCAATAGCACAAGTCACCATCAAGTGCGGCATATACCAGGGTGATGCACTATCCCCGCTGCTGTTCTGCATAGGCCTGAACCCCCTCAGCCAGATCATCACAAAGACTGGCTACGGATACCAATTCCGAAGCGGAACAATCATCAGTCACCTCCTCTACATGGATGACATCAAGCTGTATGCCAGGAGTGAGCGAGACGTCGACTCACTGATCCACGCTACCAGGATCTACAGCAACGACATTGGGATGTCATTCGGACTGGACAAGTGTGGTCGCATGGTCTCAAAGAGAGGGAAGATGATCAGAACCGAGGGGGTTGAACTACCAGAAGGCCACATAACAGATGTTCAGGACAGCTACAAATACCTTGGGGTGCCACAGGCTAACGGAAACCACGAGGAGATGGCAAGAAAGACTGCCACAGCTAAATACCTACAAAGAGTAAGGCAGGTCCTGAAAAGTCAGCTGAATGGGAAAAACAAGATCCAAGCCATCAACACATATGCCCTACCAGTCATCAGATACCCCGCTGGTATAATAAACTGGCCAAAGGAGGAGATAGAGGCTACTGAAATCAAGACGAGAAAGCTCCTCACAATGCATGGAGGGTTCCACCCCAAATCCAGCACTCTGAGACTGTACACCAAGCGTAGCGAGGGAGGCCGAGGGCTAGTGAGTGTCAAGACCACTGTCCAGGATGAAACAACTAAGATCCAGGAGTACATCAGAAAGATGGCCCCCAAAGACAAATGGCTTGGTGAGTACCTCAGGCAGGAGAAAACCGAAAGTGAGGACAAGAAAGAGAAAGGAGAACCATCATGGAGGGACAAGCCGCTGCACGGCGTATACCACAGACAAATAGAAGAAGTGGCTGATATCAAAAAATCCTACCAGTGGCTGGAAAAGGCTGGACTGAAGGACAGCACAGAGGCACTAATCATGGCAGCACAAGAACAGGCACTCAGTACAAGATCAATAGAGGCCAGGGTCTACCACACCAGGCAGGATCCCCGATGCAGACTGTGCAAAGATGCCTCTGAAACAATACAGCACATAACAGCGGGGTGTAAAATGCAGGCAGGAAGTGCATACATGGAACGCCACAACCAGGTAGCTGTCATAGTGTACAGGAACATCTGCCATGAGTATGGGCTGGAAGTCCCAAGGTCAAAATGGAAGACACCTCCTAAGGTAGTTGAGAATGACCGAGCTAAGATCCTATGGGACTTCAAGATCCAGACTGACAAACAGGTGATGGCTAACCAACCAGACATCGTGTTGATCGACAAACAGCAGAAGAAGGCAGTAGTGATAGATGTGGCAATCCCAAGCGACAGCAACATCAAGAAGAAAGAACACGAGAAGCTTGAGAAATACCAAGGACTGAAGGAGGAGCTAGAAAAGATGTGGAAAGTAAGAGCAGCAGTGGTGCCAGTGGTAATTGGAGCACTGGGAGCTGTGACCCCCAAACTGGGAGAGTGGCTACAGCAGATTCCAGGTAAAACATCAGAGGTCTCTGTCCAGAAGAGCGCAGTCCTAGGAACAGCTAAGATACTGCACAGAACCCTCAAACTCCCAGGCCTCTGGTAGAGGACCCGAGCTTGAGGATGACACATACCACCCCACGAGGGGTGAGAAAACAGTTTTGTATGTATATATATATATATATATATATATATATATATATATATATATATATATATATATATATATATATATATATATATATATATTCTCTCTGGAATCATAGGAAAATAAAATGCTGTAGTAAAACTGACTGCAATCTGACAGAAATCTGACAGAAATCCTGTGAAACCCATGAGATAAATGTGGATCTCTGTCTCACCAGCAGGATGTCAGACATGTAACATCACAGACTGTCTGGAAACTCTAAATGTTTGGATGGTAATTGTACATCTGACTGAAAGTAGTTTGAATTATTCATAAACCACTAAACCTGCATCAATGGCTTGATAAAGAGTTATAACATTATCGTTACAGCAAATTATTTATTAAATGTGACACTGAAATTTAAATGAAAACACTAATCAAAGTAAACATCAAAACTTGTTTCCATTATAACTTTTAAAAGATTTCCCCTCTTACTGACTGGCAGGAAGGTAAAGATATAAATAACACATCTTAAAATAAATTCAACTTCTATAACATTAATATAAGCTCAGGCTAATTAATTCAGGAAAAAAAAAAAAAATTTAATGCTAAATTATGTTTTTTATTTACAGAGGGGAACAAGTGACATGTCAATAAATTAATATGTTCAACAAAATCAGCAACGCTACAATTACCAATACTTCTAACAAATTCCTATGAAATTAATGCACCGAAAGGATGGATGGATGGATGGATGGATGGATGGATGGATGGATGGATGGATGGATGGATGGATGGATGGATAGATGGAAGGACAGACGGATGCATGGATGGACAGAAGGATGCATGGATGGTCCATCGGATGCACGGATGGATAGATGGATGGACAGGTGGATGGACGGACGGATGCACGGATGGATAGATGGATGGACAGGTGGATGGACGGATGGATGCATGGAAGGACGGACGGATGCATGGAAGGACAGACGGATGCATGGATGGATAGATGGATGGACAGGTGGATGGACGGACGGATGCATGGAAGGACGGACGGATGCATGGATGGATGGATGGACAGACGGTTTAATGGATAGACAGACAGACGGCAAATGGACAGATGGTTGGGTGGATGCATGGACGGACGTACGGATAGATGGATGGATAGATGATGAATGGATAAACTTAACATTGTGTATAATGGAGAAATCCATGACTTCCTGTTTCCTTCTGGTCTAAATATCAAGGAGCAACTCTTTAAAACAAGAAACACAAGAGAAGATTTCATTCAAACGAAGCTGCTAATTTATCTATCAGGAAGCTCCCCCTATATCAGTCAGAGCTCTAGTTGAAAACCTTTGAGTAACCATAATAGATGGAATGAGGATGAGGCTTTCAGACAAATCTTTATCGGCATCATTTCCTGCATGCTACATTCTGTTACAGTAGACATTTAAGTCTCACTTCCTTTTCTGTGAGGGCTACTGTCAGCGTCTATTTATTAGGACAGTAATATATCATGTGAAAAGCATGTGCAAGAGAGGCTGAGGTTTTACTGAAGCCAGTGAAGGAAGTCTAATTTTGTCGCCTCCTCCTCAGTGTTGAAGGAACAGGTCATGATGAAAGGAGAGTACAAGCCTTGGGTGGATTTGATTAAAACTGGCAGTAAGGCAGCTATGTTTAAAGTTCACACTGATCTATTTATCTGACTTCTACATAACCTACTTGATGAGCTAAGGTGAGCGTTCAGGTTAGGTCACAAATTTATCAGCAAGATGAGTTGATATGAGCTAAAAAAGGTGCAAACAAAAGATAACAACTCTCTCACCTGGAGCTTGACTTTCAGGTTGTCCACATCCACCACTTTATTCTGTGAAAACAGGAGGGACTGTGAGTGAGAGACAATCTGGCATATGTTTGAAAAATGACACGGAAGCGGCTGACAAACATTACGTTGGAATAAAAAAAGCACAGCAACTCAGCGTGTGGCAGAAAGAACGAGGCAGCTAAAAGTAGCTTTGAAAGCTGGCGAAAAAAGTAATTTGCAACTCCCACACAATAACGAGGTCCCGGGATTAGACTTAATTAAAGGAGAGTGAGAAAGACGGCTGGCAGCATAACAACGAACTCCCCCGTTAATTTCCTGCAGCCCTGTAGGGGTGCCCTTTGATTTCCTGTAGCCCAAAAACCAGGCTGGAAAAGTTGGAGGCCCCTCTAGGTGTTACGGATGGCTGCTTCCAAAAGCATGGAAGCATTTTTCCAACCATAGTGGTGTTTTTTTTCTGTGTGCTTTACAGTACCAGGCAAAAGTATACACACCTACTTTGATTTTGAGGGTTTTGTCATTAAAACCCAGAAATTGGTTTTACGTTGCATTAAAACAAAACAACGTTCCTTCTTCAAAGCCAAAAAGACCTAATCTCTGATCAGGCTTTGCTGTCATACCGCTTTAACATTTGAATGTTGGACCAAAAGTGTTCCCTGTGAGGTCATCAAACCTTAGAGCACTGATTCCCCAACTGCGGGTACTCGTACCAGGGGTCCATGAGTACATTACAAGGGGTACATGAAAATATTTTATTTCTTAGGTAGTAAAATATATTATGGCTGGGATCTGTCTTTTTATGTGAGGACCCAATTGTAAACTAAGAGTTCACCGTGACACACATTCAAACCAAGCAGAGGAACAGACTGAATCTAGACAACAGTGAGGGATCAGCTGTTTTTCACACTGACCTTTTGGAGCTCATCAGAGCAGCTCAGGTGTCTCGATTAAAAAAGTAAACTAATTAAGTAAGTCTGACTATAATTTTTGTTCTGTATTTTGTTCCCAAATCATGATTTTATTTTGTATTAATTTCAATTCCCTGCAAACTCCCAGGCAACATATTTATGTTATATATATATATATATATATATTGGAAAAAATAAAATAAAATGCCCAAGAATAAAATTCTCAATATTAAGTAAAACAGTTTTTGTTTTATAATCAGTTATTGTACGTTCCACTTTTGGACAATCATCAATACTTTTGACTGAGGGGGGGAGTCCTGGTAAGACAAAATGCTCAATGGAAACACAAGTCAAAACAGGTTGGGAAACACTGCCTTAGAATATTTTTGTTGTAATCTAACTCTTTCTACCTGACCTGTCTGCCAAGTTTCCTGGTCTGTATAATTTTGTTTATTCTCTACAAGAGCTGTGTCAATATTAGGATTAAATAAAAGACAATTACTTATCAAAAAACTTCTCATGTAGCAGATAAAAACGATAAAAAAAAAATTTACGCCATTTTGTTGAAAATGGTCTTGTGTCTATGCATCCTTTCCCTTCATCTTAATCATTAGATTTTAATTTGTATCACTCTAATACTGCGTGCAAAGTGTTTTTCTAGGGCTTTTAAATGAACCACAGCTTCATTTTTGAAATTCTGCGCTTTCTTTCAGTCATGACCTGCTGCTACAGGCATAAACCAGGTCACAGCTAAGTTTGCGATTGAAAAAACAAACCCACAATAGAAAAAACCCCAAACAAAAACGCTTAGAAAAAGGAAGTTGGGCAAGAACAAAAGCACTTCCTGAAGCACCGTATCAGTGACAAGTCATAACTAAGAGCCCTTGCCTTTTCCTTTGAATGCGCAAGAGGCCAAAAGAAAAAAAAAAATCTACCCGCACAACAAGAAAAAACAGGAACAAACTACCTCAACAACAATATCGACGACAGTCAGAGCCGCCACCTGCTAAAGCCTCTGCCTTGGCGGAGGGAACATGGCTCAACCCTTGCATTAGTTGCCATGGGTTTCCATTTTTTTCTCCCCCCAATTATGACGCGAGAGCAGCCTGCATGCTGAGTAACTGCTACAAGGAACCATGCCCAAAATAGATCAGCATGTAAAAGCTGCCACAGCCTGCCTTGCCTGCCTAACCGTGCAGAGGAGATCCTCAACATATTGACTGAACTGTTTATCTCAAAATGCTTTGTTACTAGGCAGCTTTAGACCCCTACTTGTGAACACCATCAATTAATAAGGGTTTATAAATCAATGTAAACCAGCGTCACCTCCCCCTTTTAAAGGCTTTTTAGCAGAAACTTCTTACGCTATAAGTGAAAGTGACATTTTAAGGCTTTTACAAAAATATTTCAGATATGAATAGTGTTTCATTCTTTCCATTGAGACTAAAAATCACTTTGGCTAATGCACCACTCTACCCGCTCAGTGGGTGAGCCCCTATACTTGACTTGCCATTAGTGCAAGTGTTCTTTCTGACAGGAGGAGAAGTAGAGTTTGAGGCCTTGACACCTATTGTTCCCTCTTGCACAGACGAAGATGATACACAGTAGTGATTTGCTTGAAATCCTTCATCGGCTCCTGTTTGAATGTGTGTGTCTGCATGTGTCTTTGTGCAACAGATGCATGTGACGGGGTAGGAGCCGGAACGACAGCAGGGGGACTCCTTCAGGCCCGAGCTGAGCCACGGCCAAATCTTTCCAGGAGACTGAGACGTGGGCAGGCATCTGCCAAGACATTTATGAAGCCGTCCAAAGCTCCTAGCAGCACAAGTGGTCTGTGAACTTGACTGCTTGGCGACAGGATTTGTACATTTGGTGCCATCGTGGCAGAGTGATGAAGCGTTCAGCGTGGAAACAGGCGCTAATTGGGCCGATGGCACTCCTGCCACTTGTTGTTTTTGGACATGTGATTGAAAAAAAAAACATTTTACCTGACAAGAGGAACAAGTAAAAGCACAGAACTGGTTCATACAAATCAGCGGTAACTTTTCTGAAGCATCTTTCTCACCCTAAAGTCTATTCCGACGGTGGCAATAAAGTTGCCTCCCAGAAATGCCCCGTCTTTAAAGCGCACCAAGATGCACGTCTTCCCCACAGCAGAATCTCCGAGCAGCATCACCTAGAGAAACCCGGCCATCAAAGAACAAGGGTGACAGGTTATATCTGGTTAGTGGAATGAACCGTATAGCAACAAAGAATGGCGAGCAGAAATAATTTTCTAAACTAGGGGGAAAAAAATAAAACACAGATTAAACAACTGGGATAAAACTGTTTGATATTTGGCTTAGTTGTCAGTATCAAGGTACACTGATGCTTTAAGCAGAGATGCACTAATTGATCTTCCAGAGGATGAAAACTTCCTTAACTACTGAAAAATCTGATTCTAAAATTTCAATTAATTGAAGATAAAAACACAAACTATTGGTGGTGCCAGTCAGACATATCAATACCTTTTAATGAGCGGCTCAAACACTGAAAAATCGTTTTTTTTCTTAAGAATTAAATGCATCAAAGCGATGAAACGTCACCTTCTTCTATCTGAAAACCGTCAGCCAATATCACATACTTTGAAAAAAGAATCTGTTGTTCCTTCTAATTGATTCAAACCTGCAGCTTCTTTCATATCTTCTAATCCAAGAAGCATAAAATAATCAGAAGAAAACCAATAATAGGTTTTGGCAAGAAGAAGCCGAATCCACTGATTAAAGCCTTTAGAAAATACAAACAAACAAAACTAATAAAGCAGTTTAAAGACCATAAATAGTAGGGGGTCTTAGTTATTATTTGTTTTGTAAAAAACATGATTCTCGGTAGCTGACATGTTTTCCAAGCAAATCTGCAAGATTACCTCTGACTGACTGATGCATCTCCAAATACCAGTACTTTTAATTATGGGTGAAGTAGATCTCAGAACGGGAAAATGAAAGCTTTTTTTCTTTTATTTATTTAAGTTCTTAAAAAGAAACACAAACCCCAATTCTCAAAGTGTGTTTTAGGCTGAAGAGACCTTTAAAGAAAACTGAAAATCCACATTAAACAGTAAAAACCTGAACAGTGATTAAACATTTCGCAGTTTCTAAGCTCTATAAGAAGAAATTTCAGAGGCCACAATGGAGGATTAAAGATTTCAGACTGCATGATTTCTCACTGTAAAGTCTCGTCAAGAACAAATGGCATATCATCATTACCAGAGTTGGACTGTGTTTTTGAATATTTTTAGAGTGCTAAACTGCATATCGGGGAACCAGTCACACCTTGATCGACCACAAAGATCTAATAAAGCAAACTGTGAAAAACACCTACAGACATGGTGTTAAGGGGAAACGCTCATATCAGTCTAACATTGCAACCAATCAGAAGCTAATAGCTGCATGTCCATTTATCAGCCAGCTCTAACTGACAATTTAATTTCAGATTGAACTGAATTTAATATAATGGGCCTTTAACTACTAACAGCTCAGCTAATGTTGTCGTCCATGTCCAAACATCTACGCATTAAACATCTGATATTAATGTTTTTTTTTTTTACATAGCTTATCAGTCATTATCAGCCTTAAAATACTGAAATGTTTTGTGATGTTAACGGTTTTACTAACTGCCTACATTATTTCTAAAATATTAATCAAATGTTATGATTAGTTGTCACTGCTTGAGAAGCCTTTTCATGGAATACTTTTTTACTATTAATTTAGTCCTTTTGGGGTTCTCTATATATATTTTTTCACTTTTACTTGAGTAAAAATATGCTGAAGAAGAGCTACACTATTTTTTTGGCTGCTCTAGAAAACCTCTGCTGGTCCTTTAAGCAGTTGAGGTGATTATACCTCATAAAGGTCGGGGCATAGAGAAAGGTAAGTAACTTCCAAAGCAAATCTCCATATGAGGCCATAGGGTAAGGGAATAAGCTGAAAAATTAGCAGGAAATGGATCTGCTTCCAGGTTATGTAAAGACATAAACCTGTTGTTTCGGTCTTCTGCAGTCTCTTGGATTCTAAGATTATCTTATATTTAAAGCCAGTCGTAATCTCAAGGCTGGTTTATGCTCAAAAACCAGGTCGTCTGCGTGTGTCGCAGTTAACACAGATATGCCCCCGCCCCTTCCACAGACACTCAGCTGCACCTCTCCAAAATTGTAGGTGACCGCAGACAGGAGGCCTCTGATTGGTCAATGAGGTGCGTAAGAACGCAGGGACCCTTTTCCACCTGGATCCACGCTCTTTTTCGCCCTCATGTCCCTCCATTGTCGCACAAACTTGCGTCACGCAGCAAGAGCGCTTCAAAATTCGGCATAAATTAAAAATATCATCAAAAATATCAGCATCATACCTGCGACAAGATCACTGCGACAGTGGTGTGGGAATATAACCAGCCCTTCAGTTCCTACCAAAGAAAAGCATCCCATAGCATAACGCTGCCACCACCATGCTTCACCAGGTTGATGGTGTAAACAGGGTGATATTAGCTGGAATATGGACATATTTTCCATCATCAGTTGTGCATTTTTGAAGCTCACCCAAAGTTAATACACCAACCCATGGTAAAAAATAATTAAATAAATAAATAATTTTCAAAAATGCAGCCATGTTAGAGTTTAATCTTTTCAGATCGTTTCTGCCTTGGACTGAAACTATTTTTTGTTTTGTTTAGTTTTTTCAAAACAACAGAACAAAGGTGCCATGTTTTACACAAATAGCATCAGAAAGTATTTTTTAAGCATATATAAGTGTTTAAATTTACATTTCAATAAAACATTTTGCATCATTACTGTAGGTGCTCTAACCAAGTGTATTATTTTAGCAGCATTAGGAATAAAGTTGCTTTTTGTATCAGTTAGAACCTTACTCTGACTTATTTCCACATATTTTCTTGGAAAACTGTCAGCTTTGTAATAAATCATTTGAGAAGATGATTGCAGGCAACTCTGCAGCTTGTTGCAAAATAAAAAATAAATCCAAGAATAACAGGTACAGCGGGATAAAGCTATTGTGCACGCATTTCCTTTGCATTTCACCAAAAATATTAGTCAGATGAACAGCAAGCAGTTGTTCAAAGGGATCACTTGACTTGTCTGCTTGAGTCTCCAAGCAAATATTCAGAAGAGAAGCAACAAGTACACCCTTGGTAAATATTTGAATCAGTAAAATCTCTCCACCATCTGCTGGTAACAAAGATAATAACACAAAGCAGACCAATCAGATAGTCAACATTCTCCAGATGCATGTTTAATGCAGCGTCTACACCCAGTTATTCTAGTAAAAATGCATGAGGAAAAAAAATATATAACCAAAGATACACGGAAATACACACCTTGAAAGCAATATCATAGTACTCGTTAATAGAGGCGCATCTCTCCAACACATATTTTGACGTGCCGTTTTTAGCCTGCTTGTCCGTCAACGACGCCTTTCGCGTGGACATGGCACAGCCAAAGAGAGCCGCAGCTTTGATGCCTCCAAGATGCGTCCGAGGAAGAGAGAAAAAGGCGCACGGCGTCAGATTGATCAGTCCCGGGCTGCGCCGACCTCCAGCCCCTCTGATCGCATAGTATTAGACAGTAACAGACACTTCCAGGAGGGGTGGCTAAGAAGGAGGAAGAAAGAGGAAAGATTTGCAGCTAAACAGTGAAAAAAACAAAACAAAACAAAAAGAAAAAAAAGGCGCGCGGTGGAGAAACTTGGCGGCGGTGGCGCGTCCGCATCAGTCAGTGGAGAAGCAATGACAGGCAGGCGGAAACATTGCTGCGCTTTGGCGAAGCGGAGCGGAGCGGCGCATCCTGGCGTGGGCAGGTAATTAGAGCTGGCCACAGATGCGGTGGGCGCGCTTATTGCGGCGCGTCTTTTCTAGGAGAGGGAGGGAGGGGCTCAGATTCCTGGCTGACTCATCTGCTACAGGTGGAGGGGTCACTGGGAGCAGGAAGAGGAGCTGAGAGGTCAACACCTGTAGAGGTGGGGGTCATATCTGACCCAAATGATACACAATGGGTACCAGAGTGATCTGCTCCTCCTCTTCAGTCTCATCATATTTACACCACCGATTAATAACCGGTTATTCCACCTCTGCACTTCATAACATGTATCTAAAATGGTTTTCAGTCATTTTTTTTTATAATGAAAGCCTGTGAATGAATATTTTCTTGCAGCGTTTGTCTCCCCCTAGCGGTTTAATCACCCCCTTTTTCCTCCTTTGTGTTAATGACAAAGGAACAGAGATCATTTAACTTACATAACCGACCCCATCATGCATATCAGCTCCTGACTTCTTGCAGCTCATGGGATGAGCTCAATGACAAACAGAGGAGGCCCCAGAGGCACAGGCAGAGTACCAGTCTGCTGAGGGGCCGAGATGCTCTGGAGGCCCTGGATTTATATGTTAAAGGTTGAAAGACAAGACAAAATAATATTAAATAAGATCTGAAGTTTTATAGTGATGTCTTATGCCTCTGCACAACCAAACACTAATGACCGACCCATCCAAATTATGAAACCTGATCAGAGCTGAAAGAGTTTCCGAGCACAGGGGTAATCACCTCACAGACTAAGCATGGTTTTTTTTGTTTCGTTTTCTACAGAACCTTTAGTTAATATTGTGCCCAACGTGACATGTTAGTTCTCAGAGTAAGAACACAAAACATCTGCATCTACATTTCAGGCATGTGGAATGTGTTTTAAGCATGCAAAATCCATATTAATCTTTGTAAAAATGAAATAAAGCCATTGATAACCATCTCATTCTCAGCTTATATAACGTGCTATGTTAACCATCCATTTTCTAACAAGCTTATCCCAAGTGGGGTCACGAGGGGTGCTGGTGCCTATCTCCATCTGACTAGGGGCGAGAGGCGGAGTACACCCTGGACAGGTCGCCAGTCCATTGCAGGGTAAGACATAGACAAAAAACCATTCACACTCACACCTAAGGGGACTTTAGAGATGCCAACTAACCTAATAGTCATGTTTTCTTGGTTTTTTTGGATTGTGGGAGGAAGCCAGAGTACCTGGAGAGAACCCATGCTCTGGGAGAACATGCAAACTCCATGCTGGGAATCAAACCCAAAACTTTCTTGCTGCAAGGCAGCAGTGCTACCCATTGCGCCACTGAGCAGCCCACTATGTTAACCAATATTCCTTAATTGATAAAAACAAATCTTACATTTGATTTGACATATGGCCCAAATAGTTAAAAACTATTGAAAGACAGTTAAAAAAATGTAAGAATGTGTAGAAAGCAAATCCAGGTATCAAATAATCTGAAAGACAAACGTCTGGCTTTGTTACTATTCAGTGGTGGGGCTTTGTTTCTCCAAATTCAACTGGAAATTTGACTTGTTTTTACCTGGATTATCATCGTTTACTAAGGTTCTGTTGGGCTAAAACCTTAAATAGTTTAGGTTTCCATCGTAAGCCCTAAACAGTCCTAAAAGATGAAAGGGGATAGGATGCAAATAGAGCCAGATTAAAATAGGGTTTAGATTGCAACATTGTTAAATTCCATCCTAAAGAGCAACCAAGCATCATTAAAGGTGTTTTTCCCATTAAAATAACTATGAATAATAAATGAATAGTAAAAGAAATGCTAAATAATCCATGCCGGTAAAAGGCTGAATTTAAATCCCCTCATAGAAACAAGTCAGTAGAGCCTCAGAGGAGAGCTGACTCTTTAAAGATGTCTCTATTAAAGGTATAATGGAGGATTTCTGCAAGCTTTTGAAAAGACCCGCCCTCTTCACTTAAAAAAAAAATAAAAAATCACATGCACAACCCTGTACCCGCTCCCGAGATGGAACGCCTATTAAACGACTGTGAACCTATTTCTCCCTGTGCAAGCTCTGTTTAAAAGTTGCTTTTTGCATCACTCATACAAGCTTACTTTTCAAAAGAAGATTTGCTATTTTTCCACTATGTCAGACTCACCACCGGTAAATAAAAATGTGGACGGGCACATAGGACGGCCTTACGTAAACATATCACCAGAATGATTGACAATTAGGAGGACTATGAGCCACCCAGAAAGAAAAAAACATCCTCCACTATACCTTTAAAATAATTGCATGAAGTTACTGATATTGATTGATTTTAAGCACTTTAATGTTCCACAGTAGAGCCTCTAGTATTTGATTTGCAATCATGTTTTTAAAAAACATTACTAACAAAAATAAATGTAATTTCCAAGCAGAGGAATCCGACACTGCTATAAGCGGAGGGTTAACAACAGGATGCTTGGATTAGTACAGCTGTCACTGAGTATTTGATAAAGAAAATGTATTGAGCAATAAAATAAAATCCAACTAATACTAGTAAAAAGAAAGAAATCCAGCTCTGACACCTCAGTTGTTGATGCAAATTACTAAAACCCCTATTGGCTGCTTTGTCCGATGGTGTTTGTGTACGGCAGCCTCACTTCTGTCAGTGTAGTTTACCACTATAAGTGTTTGGACGAACAACTGAATGTAAAGTGCTTTGGGGTCATTCATTATTAACCTTTATTTAACCAGGAAGTCCCATTGAGATTCAGAATCTCTTTTTCAAGAGAGACCTGGCCAAGGTAGCAGCCAAACCACAGGAAGTTCATACATATTTACAACATATTACATTTTTCATAATAAATTCAGAGCAGTATGTTAAAACACATTCAGCATCTCAGGAAAAACAAGCACATATCTCCATCACTACATTCTTCATGGTTACTTTAATTTCATTAATGGTCATGTGACCTTAAAAAGCAAGATAAAAATATAGATATAGATATTTCGTATTTAATATTTTAGCCAAAATACAAACTAATTCACCAGATTGAGTAAAACAGCTAAAGACAAATACACTACCAAAAACAATTTCTTGAAATGCAATCTGCAAATAAAATATGCAGGGAATCCCAGACAGTCAGCTTTGTCTGACATTTAAAGTTGAATAAGCTCAGCTGCACTGATTTCATCACTTTTTGAGATGAATAGAAATAAATAAATAAATAAATAAATAAATAAATAAAGAGCACATTGTGTAGATGTAATATATAGTCTAACAGAGTTCCAGAACAAATTGAAAGGACTTTGGAGTTTCAGAGTTTGGACTTGATTTTAGAGTTTCTTTGCCAACTTAACGGTTTTTGTCTGAGACCTGAATCTGGACCTATTGATAAATACTAGTAAGAAACCTAAATGATACTTGCAAAAGTCTGATGATAACAGTTGGATATATTGGGCAAACCTTTTCATAACAGATTATATTTGAATGTAAAAAGTGTTTTAACTGCTTGTGCTGGTGGGAAAACTTGTATAACAGAGGTTTTAAGTCACAGAAAATTGTTCTGAAGGCAGCAAAAGGTTCCATTTCAGGCCATTTTTTTGCAGGTTTAGAATTGCATAATAATTAACTTCCAATTTTCCTCCCCTTATTTATCTAAAGCAATAAAAAATTAATCTTAACTAAGAACCTGTGGTCTATATGGGCAGTTGCCTTGGGTGCTAGTGCCTTGGGGTGCGGGTTTAGGGTGACTTTCCACCTCTGAACTGAACAGGAAAACAACTAAAATTTGAGGCAAAAAAAGTCTTAAATGTTAAGAATAAGAAATGTTTTGAAGCAGAGAGCATCTTGGATCAGCCATGGAAGAGTTTCCCTTTTCAGGGGCTTTGATGATCATAAACGACACCTGAAGACTTCACAATAACTACGATCAAACTCTCTTTCAAGCTTTGACTTTAAATCCAACTGGATTAAACACATCAAAGTATTTTATTTCCAGCAGAACTCTCTCTCTGTTTTTTCGCCACAACCCTTGAATCACACACTTACTGTATAGGCATCAACATATGCTAATGTAAAATGGCAAACCAATTTCACAGCTCCTCGCTGATTCTTTTCCCTTTCATTTGTGACGGTCACAGATTTTTCAGTGTCACAGCAGATTAATCTCTCCCCAAACACCCCCCCCCCTACTTGCCCGACTCCGTCTCACCGTGTGTCAGTGTCCCTCGCCCATCATCTCCCACCTAAAACTTGTCACCGAGCATAAAATCAGCTCAGACTGGCACAACTTTGTTACACGTCTCCTGCTGTAAGCAGCTCAGCTCTGACATTCATTAGCTGCTCTCTTCCCTTTAATTTAATCTCAGCGATGAGTTTATTGACCATAATCATTCTCCTCTAATGCACTGTTAGGGATTGTAATGAATGCAGTGAAAAAAAATAAAAAAAGAGGAGAGCACCACTGATTCATGCTGTCACACTGAGGGCATCAGATCTGCTGATACGTCACGATTTAATAACAAACAGCACGGCGGAGTGACATGTCCTTCTCACTAAGGTTAAGAACAGCATAAGAGGAAGCAGTGTTTGGGTGGGGGCCTTACTTACAGTGAATCCGATGCCCACGGTGGAGGTAAATGACCCCGGGATGAAGTTGCCCTGGTCAAACTGAACCAGCAGAGAGGTCTTGCCCACGCCGCTGTCTCCCACCAGGATCGTCTGCAGGTTGAGTCACACAGACACACAGCAGACATCCTGTTCTTGCTCAGTTTGATTCGCCCGGGGGCCGCTCCAGCGTGTGGGCACGCAGAGTGGACCATTATAGGAGTTCATCTGTTGCTCAGTGTGCAGCCCTGTGCTGTCTGATGCTTTGTGACAGCTGGAGGTTTGGCTACGTGTCTTCAGGAGTGGCGGTGAATAAGCTGGACCTGCATCTAAATCAGCTGTAAGGTCATGAAAACTCCCCAAGCAGAACACAGACATTTTCATACTTCATTCCTCTCTGCTTGTATAGTTTTGTGCAAAAGTTTCAAACCAAAACCTTCTTTTGCTGAATTTTTCATTCCAATTTCTGGAGACCACTCTTTTCTTTTCTAATTCTTACTCCTAAGCAGTTTCAGGG